GTTAGTGTCATGGAAATTAGCATTCTGTAGCTTTCTCTCGGTTCGTTACGTTTTTAATTAGTATATCGCACTTTTACGGCTGATAAGAGAATGAAAATATATCCATGACGGCAGTGCTATCTAAATCACGCAATAGTCAGGTCGTTGCCCTCATTATCGCTTTGCACGATAACGTGGAATACGGAAAAAATCCATCCTCAGACTGATAAAGATGTCGACCAGTGTTAGGAGGTCTCTTGCGATTCCCGTCTGTCTTGAGGAATGAGGTTAGTTGGTGAAAATAGAATGCGACTTTAGAGTTCTTGGTAAAATGGGTGTTGAATGTGTTATTAGCACGAATAGTTTGAGTAAACAGAAGCATGTCCTTGGTAGCGGAGTGCGAGCGGCGCGGGCGCAGGCGGCGGGGTCGTCAGAGGTCGCAAACACTAGTGTCAATATTTAAACTGCCAACCTGTAATCTTATTATTAGTTGTTTTTACACACTACTGTGTAAAATGTTCTAAAATTACACAGCTGTGTAAAATTAATATAGAAGTTCAGTGTTTTATGTCTGCTACGAGTGAAACTTCTGTCTGGCTGACAAAAACGGATTTTCCTGATACAAATATTTCCATCAACTTGACCGATAATAGTATTTACGATCGATGTATGCTGCATTTGAAATCTAATCTTAACCTACTTAGAATAAGTGGGTAATTTCGATAGCACATAACGTTACGAAATCATTCTGTAGTACCACGTGATAGTTGTTTATCATCATTATCACTTTCTTTCTCGTATCTCTTAGTCATTGAGAGCACGGCATACTAATTTGACTTAATTCGACCCGGTTTAGTTCTTTGAAAAAATACGAGTGATTTTTATGCATTAGGCATTTTAATAATATGATTATTTAAGTACATTTTAAAAATGTCAGCAAAGTTTGGAATTAAGTTATCTTTCGTTGTTTTCTTTTCTTCTTTTCGTACTTATAGTGACCAGCATTTATTTGTTTTCAATTATGCTATTGGTAATTATGTTTTCGGCTTACTCAGGTACTTGTTTTACGACATACTCGACTAGTTTCAAGCCATGCTAGCAATATACTAGGCTAGCAATATGGGCAAAATCTACTCGTAGCATAGCTTGAAACTAGTCGAGTATCTCGTCAAACAATTACATTAGTAAGCCGAAAACATAATAATTAATTTAGTATGTTTCACGAAAGTTATTATAAAAATATGTAGTGGAAACAGTTTGTCAATTATTTAGTGAAGCCATTTCATGTTTTATTTTTATTTAATTTTATGAGATGGCCAACAGCGCCGGCCCTGTCTTTAAGGAGTACGTTCTTAAGAATTCTTAAGATTTCTTGTAAAGAGATGGCATATAACGAATGATTTGTAGTTTAGTATTACCCAAGAAGTGACTCACAAGATAGCAATGAAAATCTACTACGTGCTAAATGTTTTAGTAGTAGTAGCAGCCCATAAATGCAGCGTATGTTTCTTTGTGTAGAAACATGGGTTTTCCCCAGATTGTCTGCAGAATACCTAATCGCTAAGTTTCTTATTAACACCACCGGTAAACCCCTGCATTATGTCATAATTAATTAATTAATTACGCGAATATTTATACTTACATGTGTTAGCAATAAATATTTATAAATTGAATGGAAATATGTGATAATTTATTTATTTGTAAAAGTACAAGTTGTGCGTGTTTTGTTTAGGTAGGTATGTGAGTCTTCCATTTTGTAGATTTATTTTTTGATCGGCAAACGGGCCTTTGGAACCTGATGGACACCCGCTACAACGGAGGAGTTATGAGTGTGTTCTCAACCTCTTGGGGATTAGGGTTAGGGATTGGGGGAGGGGAAGGATTGGGCCGGTAGCCTCACTCACACGGCGAAACATAACGCTATAATATGATATCATATATTAGTATTATCGTAACCACGTTTTGGGATTGTTTACACAGACAGCGCGAGTTAAGCCGCTTCTTGTGGGCTCTGCTTGAAGTTGTAAGCCCTAAGATAAATGATGATGGCATATTAAGCCGCTCAAAGGAGCTCATGACAAACTAACGGCCGAACAGATTCTGCGTACTTCGAGGATGGGTGATATTTATTTTAGCATGTGTATGCTTGTGTGGTATAAGATGTGATTGTTTGCTTGAAGATTTGGGTTTTTAAGAAGTTTAGGAGAATCTAAGCCAATGTTAAGTAGTACCTAATTCTGCTTAGACGATTAAAATAAGCTGCAGTTTTTATAATATAAGCAGAAAATAGTAAAGAAGATCTGGGGTTGCGGGGCAAGAGGATAAGGAACGGGGTGTTTTTAGTCAGTAAGGGTATCACACTCCCTTTCACCTTACCCTGGGCGAGCTAAAGATATTTTGATGGTTTACCCCCATCAAAAAAATTGTTATATATGAAAGTTTCTTATTTAGATATTACCATAACGGAATCAATAAAAGTGTTTCTAAAAAGGTTCCTAAAAAAGGTACCTAAACTTTTCGTTGACTCTAACATATACCTACGAGTATTTTTAAGGGCCTTATAAGATACTGTTACTATACAAATGTTACCAAATTATCATAACTATATCGGATGACACCATTTTTCATTGATATCGTTCATCTTGACAATATGGAAGTATTAAGAAAATTGTGTTAGCTACATAAATCGTGATCCGATCAAATGTCGGACGTAACCCTCGTCTGTCATTTCGCAAAAATGGTCAAGGCACGGTACATATATGACCCCTTTATTTGGAGCCTAGATCGATTACCTACTGAGATGTGTAGAGAATATATGTTGTTCTTTTTCTCTGGTCAAAATTATTGTTTTATTTCTATCTTTATGGAATAAAAGTGTGATTTTTCAGAATCGTTGCTATTGGTAAATATACTTTATGATTACCTACCTAAGGTTGTTTTCTTGTGTCTTTCTAGTCCTAAAATCTTACTTTTAAAGTTTCCTAATTAAGTATACCTATGTAAAATAATACGAAAATAGATTTCTTACGGTGCACCCTTACTGAATGATATTATGCGTATATTTTCATTTTGCATGCGAGCATTTGTAACTTGTTAAACTGCCTGCAAATATAAAAGAACACTAAAACAATAATAGGTCTTTCTTTTAAGGTCCACCAATGAGCTACAGTTATCATAACAATCAAGGAAACGGTCTTTTCTCACCATTACTTGGTTAATAGAAATGTGGTACTTGTTATCTATGTATTAAATACTGCTTTAGCCCATCATTAATAGTTGAAGGTTGTTGGGAAACGATTTCATTGGAGTTCTTTGTTATCCATGTAGGTCATTCATTCAATGCAGGATTACCGTTCTTCACTTAGTTCCCTGCTGTTACACAATTATGTTCGGTCACATTATGAAAACTGGGTCGAGAACTGACATTGTTTGTTAAGAAATAACACGCATTTTGTTATGTACATGCGTTAAATTGCTTGTGAGCATTCATGGGTAATGTGAAGTGTCAATTAGTGTCAATCTTGCTTGACTGTACCTGGAGTCTTGTGATAATAGTTTACGCTATTAATTAGTGTTTTGAAGAGGGATGTTTTATATTAGCTGAGTGTGGGAAAGCCAAACTTCGTCACGAATGGTCCGGCTCGACCGAAGTGATACCACGGCCTCACAGAAAATCGGCGTGAAACAGCATTTAGGATCTGTTAGTGAGGTTTCCGGAGGCCCAATCTTTCCCCCCATCCTCAATCTTCAAATCCCTTATTCTTCAATCCCTAATAATCCACAAGAGGTTGGCAACGTACTTATAGTAACTGCTTTGGTATTACAAGTATCTATGGGCGGCACTGTTTGCTTACCATTAGGTAATCCGCCTGCTCGATTTATTACTAGAAGAAGGAAAGATATCGTTTGCCCAGCAAAAAGTACAAAACACACTTTTATAACAAAATTTTTTGTATTCCTTGGACCTTTCCTATACAATCAACTGAATGCGACTTTATCCTTTTACTCCTACAATCTCCATACCTGTAAAAAATCCTCATCGAAGCACTTCAAGACATGTCCTATGAAGACACAGAGAAGTTATTATTAGTTACTAAATAACTGTGGTAAAGGTTTTTATTTTTATTTTTATATTTTTGTTTTAATTATTATTTAATTAAACATAGACATAGAGTTTAAGTATCGTTATATCCTATTATTTTTAATATAAATCTTAGCATTATTTCCTTTATTTAAAAACACTTATGTACTTATGATTATTTAACAATGTATAATATCTTTTTACCCATTTTCGCCTGAAACACAGGTTGTCCTAGTTCAGGCACCCAATATTATGAACTTGGTATAGCTTTAAGCAAAACTGTATATTCTAGATTATGTGTTCTTCAATAAATTTTATTTATTATTTATTTATTTATTAGATCATTTAAGTCGAAATGCATTTTGGAAAGGAACAAGAAAAATGTGTTTGTCTTTTTTCAACCTATCAATTCAGGTCAAGTAGGTAGTAGGTAATGTCTAAGGGCTATTAATTATGCCAAAATGACACCTGCCTGTCGTTTTGACTGGCAATATTTTCACCAGTTTACGCGTGTTTTGACCTCCTCTTTGAGTAAACTCTTTGTTTGCCTACAACAGACTGTAAACTTCTTCAAGGTCAACGATAACTTTAATCAGTTGTTTTTGTCAAATTTTGTAAAAAAAATTAACGTATGCTATTATTAATTTTTTTTTGTAAGAGAAGTAAATAAAATGTTTCCCAGTTCTTATCTTAGTATGTCTTTGACAATAAATTAAGACGTTACTCATGTACAGTATTATATTTGCCAGTACCTAAATGGAGACATGCTTTAACAGAATTTTATTATTTTACAAAATTTATATTTTTAACATAGGTAGTTCACATGTTGATATTACTATGTATGTATTAATTGCTGAGCCATCAAGTTTCATCCGTTTTGGTTCATCAAATTATATACAACAGTACAAATCTTATACATACTTATTATAATGCAACTAACCTATTTTTCCATTGGGGCTGTAGGGTCCGTAGCTGCCTGATGACAGGGGTGAGGAATACCCGTTCGGCTGCGGCTGCACCGGCGGGCCGGGGGAGGGTGAGCCTGCGCCCGCGCCGCCAGCCATCCAGTCGCGCACGTGGCCGTTGGCCTGGTGCCCGTTGTGACTGACCCCTGGCTCGGCCTTGACCGCGCCCGGCAGCACGCCGCGGTACGCTACCTCGTGCTTCAAGTCCATGCCGCTGCTACCGCATGCTGTACCTCCACCGCCGGCCCCGCCGCCCGCGCTCCACACTTCTGCGAAAGAAGATTTATATTAGACTACTTATCATGGCTAAGTGATAAGAAATTTTAGAGGATGCTAAATCGATTGATTCTATGTCTTTGTTAGATAAAGGTAATTTTATTATTAAAGTACACTAGGTACTCGCGTGGTTTCATCCGCTGCTATTAGTCTATAGCACTCAGGGATATTGTAGCTATTTATATCAGTGAAAGAATTTTGGAAATCCGACTGGCGGTTTTAAATCCCCTACATACAAACTTACACATTTTACCTCTCTATAATAGGTATTAGTAGATATAGACGATAGATCATAAGTTTTAAGTCTACCATAATAAAAAAAAAACAGAAAAATACAACAATTTATAAACCCGCCCCATTCAAAAAGTATTCGACATCAAATAAATTAACTCCGTTCCAAATTAAATAGACAGACGATACTTCTGTGGCTTATCTCAAGTGATTGTTACTAGAGTAACAATCGAAGTCCGAACCGGTATAGTTCCCAAGTCGCAGCAATCTTTGATCTCATCGAAGATAAAAAGGCGTCGGTTTGGCAACAAAGGGAATTGAATGTGAATAGAAAGTTCGAACTGTTTGTTCAAGAGTTTTTTTGAGTGACAATTTTAGGTACAAAGAATCAGTTTTACATCGACAAGTCAAATGCAAAAGGTCCTACTCTTCGTTAGGGGGATGCCATCGTCCTTTCGGTTAGTAGATAGATTTGCTAATTCTGGCCTTTTGATCAATGTTTTTGAGCTGTATCAGTGTAAAAAGTTTTTAGTGTTAAGTTCAATATTCCAAACAAAACCTTCTAGTTGCCATCTAGTTCCGTGAAAATATTTAATCTATGCTAATATTATAATTGCGAAAGTAACTCTGTCTGTCTGTCTGTCTTTTCTTCAAGTCTAAACTACTGAACAGATTTCTGTGAAATTTGGTACATAGTTTAGAACTCGACATAGGATAGTTTTTATACCAAAAAATCTGCAGGAAGTCACTATTCCACGCGAACGGAGTCGCGGACAAAAGCTAGTTTATTGTAAAAGACTTATCAATTAAAATAATTTTATTTTTTGATAATCTGAGAGATTCTAAATTATTATTAATTCCTTATGCTAGTCGTGTTGACTTTGTTTTTAAGTGATTCTCGGAATGGTGCGAGTAGTAAGAGTTTATTATTTGCAGAAACTCATTTATTTTCACAATTTATTCAAACAATAACTGCAAAAGCTTTTCCGACATCTTGAGACGTCATTCAATTGGAAGTCGTGGGCGAATTCTGCATATTATAATTGGCTACTCGATGTAAGTACTAGTTATCTGGAAAATAATACTCATTGTGAAAGAAAAGGGAAATCAATTTCCAGAAACAACTTGATATTGTTGAATGAAAACCGACTATAAAGATTTAATTATTAAAGTTGAAAATAAGAAACAAAGAAATATATTTAAGATTTTGAAAAAAGAATGATTGAAATGGGTGTTTTATTGCCCTCCGTTTCTCTTCTTCTATTCCAAGAATTTCAGCGTTACAGGGTATGTATTTGTATTTGTATTAAATTTATATTGAATTTGTAAATAAATGAAAATATGGCTGATAAAATTATTAACTAATTTGTACCTAATTCCCATCTTGAGATTTTTTGTTTTGCGCAGTAATTTTGATCGATTATTTGCCTAGTATTTTCTAACAATCTAAAAAATTGGGTTTCCCAGATCAAAGGTTATCTTTTTTTATTTTATGACCTTCGTTGCTCTCTTAGAATACAGATCATGTCCCGCTTCATATAGGTCCCCCTTTTTTTGCAAATAAGACAACAGTTAACTACACAACACTAAGGGTGAGTTGCACCATTTAACTTTAACCAAACCATAACCATAGGAAGCCATGAAACGGCCTCCTATTGGTCAGTTCGACGATTTGACAGCTGATAACGGCTATGTTACCGTTAAAATTAAACGGTGCAACTCACCCTAACTTTCCATAATTTAACTTAATATCAAATCTATCGATTATTCCTGATCTACAAACACAAAATAAATAACGTCAAGTTTCAAATCATATAAAGGCTATACATTCACTTTAAAATAGACAAAATCAGTCAGTCAACAAAGTCAGTTCGTGCTGTGTTCTATAGGTTTAGGTAATTTACTAAATGTAAACAATCATTGCATATCTTTTTATCTAAAAGTTGTCTAAAATTGTATGTAAAAATGTTTACAATTACGTATTTAACCAAACCGATGTCAGCTAATAAAATGAATTTAAATAATCTTTGTATGTACTTTATGTATTTTATACGATCACTTTTATATAAAAATATAGTTTACCTTTACATAAACACCTAGACCCCAGTAAAACAGAAATATCAAATACCGACCAAAATAATTGAAAACTAAATTATTCTAATGCGGAATAACAATCTCATGACACAATTATTAGTCGCCCTAATTACCTACCCGTCCAGTGCATCGCCGGTCACTGAGATTAAATTTCAGCAAACAAGAGAGTAAATCTAGTTGGGGCATCAGGATAGTGGTCATAAACCACAGCGTCCCGGGATTTGCCAGGATCGCTCCGGGATGACGGCAATCCCGGGATGTTAACAATTGTCCGTGCATTGTGCGGATCGTAAAATGGATACATGGTTTTATAGTGTGTTGTATTTTAGTGTGCAAGTTTTAAACGGGATTTGTTTTCTTAGATTTAGTTTGTTTGTGTTAGTTGATGGAGGATGGAGTGTGACATTGCTTTGTGTATCCGTTCAGTTCAGTTCTTGCGGTTTCGTTTAATCAAATTCTGATCCTAAGGGAATATCAGACATAAGTAATTTTTGTTAGTTTCGTGAACATTTATAAAAACGTTCATTGAAACAAAAATTCCTCCATATTATATACACGTGGTAGTAGATACAATTATGATGAATAAATATGTTATTTTTATTAATAATATGCAAACTAATATTATAAATGCGAAAGTAACTCTGTCTGTCTGTCTTTTATTCACGCCTAAACTACTGAACCGATTTCTGTGAAATTTGGTACAGACATAGTTTGGAACTCGAGAAAGGACTTACAGAGGGAGAAAGGACAGTATAGCTTTTATACCATAAATCTTCCACGCGAACGGAGTCGTAGGCAAAAGCTAGTGCTTCTATACATATACCTAATAGATCTAATTATGACTTATTATTGTAGGAAATGATAAATCACATTTATTGTACGTAGGTACGTAGTTTACGTCGTTTCAGTACTTATTGTAACTTATTTTGAGTCAAATTTTCCATAGGACATTGACCCCCCACTTATTTCTAATGACAAATTATTACCTATTCAAAAGGGCTATACAGATAAAAAGCTGATATGGAAAAATCGATTGTATGAGGTTAGAAATAAACGTCATGCGTCATTAGTTATTTTTTCCTATTCATCATATTATTGGTACTAACATACGTGTCAACTTGGTTTTTTATAGCAGCACTTTCTGATAAGTCTAATTTGCCGCGTTGAGTGTGAGAGAGACAAGCACGGATGAACCGGCTCGACGGGACTGAAAATACGGCCTCACAGAAAACCTCCCCGATTCCTCAATCCTAAACGACCTGCAAAAAAACGGCAACGCACTTGTTACCGTCATGGTGTTCCAAGTATGTTTGGGCGATACCTACTGCTTAACACCAGGTGATCTGTCTGCCCGATTTAAACATCTATCCAAGCGCAGAATAATGGAAAACCTTCCAGTAGTAGTAGTACAGAACACTCGGAGAAATCCAGAATTCATCAGTCCCAAACTGTTAATGTTCTTAAAATCAGACCGGGATTGAAATTATACACAGCCAGAAGTTTTAACTGACATAATTAACATAAATATTACTTTAAAACATTGTAACGAAAATACATATAATCATGATAAAGAGAAAATAATTAAGTTTACATTTTGACCCAGAATCGGGTCAGAAACCAAAAGTAATGAATTGTGGTCACGAGGGTCACAGTATAATCCTAACTGGGACTTCAAGATTATCTAAGGGAGGCCTCCTACCCATCAGACCATCAGGGTACCTAATCGGTTCAACCACATATCAGATTAAGTATAAATAAATCCTCCTTCACTAGGTTTTGTTTACTTAGACATGTGTTTCCGATAAAATAAGGGACAAAATGGATACATTGGCTACACTAGTTTTTTGGATTTTCTTTTGTTTTTGGTGCAAAGGTTACAAAGGAAAATTATCTTTTGTCGATTGTTGATGGCGAATATGGAATGGAAAAGAAGCTTCTTGAAAGAAATAAAGTTTTCAGAATAAAATTACGTTGGTCATCATTTTCTGCATCTTAGGGATATTAGAAAAACCATATGACTAGAATTAAAACACTTGTTATACACATTCCTGGAATATTATCGCCATAATCATGTCAATGACGAAACTTCTGAACACAGGCCTTCCCAAATGATTTTCAATTCGACTCCTTGCGACCTCTTTTAAGTTATCTTTGACTTAGTTGTAATTCATATTCTAGTTCTAATAAATTTTAATATTCCACTATACGAGTAGAAAGCAATATTGTAAAACTTTTTACAGCTATTCATAAAAACTAAATTTATATATGCAAAACGTTTATGATTTTTAGAAACAATAAAATATTGTATGAAATGTTTTCAGAGGGCACTTCACTAAACATTATTATTTTAATGAATATTATTTTATTTAGTATAGCTTTAGTCCCGATAGTAATCATATTTCTATGTGTAGGCTATGTATACTTAAAATATATAAATATAAGTATGTAGTGAATCCATCTATAACATATCACAGATACAAGAAGTCAACTGTTTAACATAGATCTTTTCCAATGAATACTAAATCGGTCAATTAGAAAACACCCAAACTCAGAGACTCCCTGCGACATTTCTTAAGTTCTGGTATTCTTTTCTATAAATTAAGGTTGTCTCATAATATTGGGATAACACGAGATCTTGGATTGTTTTCGGAAAAGAAAGGAAAATACTCCATTTAATAGTAATTCAGGAGAGGTCTGGATGATAGTTAGATCAACATTATGATCATTTGTGAAACATACAAGACAAATACATTAGATAGACCAATTTTCTATAACAAATAGGATATATTAGAGAGTAATGAATCGCACAATGATGGAAAGACTTCTAATACAACTGATGTGACCGAACCAATAATATTCAACTTGTTCCTTAGATAATTTCCTATGAATCAATTACATCACAGTGTACAATACCATTTCACATACGTAATTGAAATAATAGCCTCTTCCATAGCAACTTCTGCTACTAAGCAAACCCGTTTGAGTAAACGAAAATCACAAATGAAAATAACACCTTAGCGAGGTTATCGCTGATTCACGAGGCTTTATTTGATGACGTTGCGCGTTGCTATGCGGATATCCCATAGGCCGGTAATTAAGGATTTAGTGTGTAGCAATGAATAGTAAGAGATAAGTAATGTTAAGGAAACACTCAGCTAAATGAATGACTCATTCATTGAAAACAACGCGTACGGAGAGTTGCATAAGATTTTGCCACAGTGAACATTTTTGTTCATTGATTGATCAAGCCAAAATGTAACATGAAGGTGCATTGCTGCTGATTGCAATGAGCAGCGTAGCAGCGGCGCGGGCGTGGTTGCACAACGCACGCGCAGAGAAAGCGGGTGACGTCACGACCTCGACACGCTCACCTAGTTGCGCGCGCGCCGCCGCCGCCTGCACCAACCCACTTCTGCCGATACCGGCCCAATGTCGCCGGGCTTTCTCTCACCGTGCAACTCTTCACGCAGACATAAACACAACGTAATCGATCAGTTACTATTCAATGCGTAATACTTCACTATGGGAAGTGATACGCAAACATATTCAAAATAGGGAAAAAATAAAAGTGTTACCACTGACGCCGTTACACTGCACTGCCGCATCTTTTTACGCTTTTTTGCAGCCACGATGGAGCCAGTGAAAGTTGATATTTTTAAATTTTATACTATAAACATCGGTAGGTGCTTAGAGGTTGACCTGATATACCACTTTCGCTTCATCAGAGCGAATGCAAGATTGCCGGTTTAGAAGCTGCTTCATAATGAAGTGCACGGCAAATATAACCATGTACAAAAAATGGCTTATCTCATTTCTTTAAAAGTTTAAACAAATCATCAAACACTGATTGTTCTTCTTATTTCCATAAATAATAATGCTTTTAAACAATAAAAGTTAAGTGAGAAAATGATTTATGTAAGTGCATTTGCAAGTAATAAAACGGAGCACCAGTGGCGCCACTGTAATCATTAAACTAAATTGCATCCTGTGGCGCGGCACCTAATTTTTCTCAAATCGCGTCTTTTTGTTATTCGACAATTGGCATGGCTGTGGTGTGAGTTTTGTCTACACTCGTAACATCAATGTTCCCGCTTCATTGCATCCCACCTCCAGACCCAATGTAAGATTCACTTTTACGACGTGAGCAATAAAACTTTATGACTCATTACGATAACGTTAGAATAAAATACGCGAAAAGCAATCGAAAGAATGTAAGTGCTAGCTCGTTCCTTACCGGGATCGCTCGGTTCTCTATTTTCCTTTCAGAAAATATTCATCGCGAGGAGTCGCTAGTCATCGCGATTGCGATCGCCTGATTTATGCGCGGCACTATACAAGAGCTGGAGCTCAGAAAATATTCTGTGAAATAAATCCGGTGCGGTTCGGTGGTTCACGCGGGGACGCGCGTATAAAGTATCTTCGGTGCGGTCAGCACATATACTATCGCATAAAAGTATTATGGAGAGAACGAGGACGTGCCGGCGACGGTCCGAGCCATCCTGAGAACATTCCGGAACGCATTCAGCTCGCTCTCGATGGCACTGATGTAGTGTCGCAGCCTGCGTGGCGCGCAACCACTATTTGACTCATGCAGGTTCGCAATATATATTTATATGCAAAGCTTCGTGGCCCTCGTTCACTGCTGTGGCATTAAAGAATAGTCGATGACGCGGAAATAGAATTTACGAGTAGTGCGACCCCACCAGCGGCGTGTGATATATTGAGCGAGGTCACTGGCTCGCTAGCGGCGTGCTGTTGCTATTGCGTCACTGCTAGACTAATGGCCTTGCATATTATACGTTTATCTAGGTATAGAATATTTCTAAGTGGTGGGTTCGATAACCGTGCCCTGAGGTGGGAATAAACCGTTTGTGTTGTTCGCCGTAATTAGAGAGTCTGTTCGGCGCAGCGGACGACTGACGGGCTTCATGCATTATTGAGTTGAGCGCATGGTAGGCAGACACCGGGCTCAGGTGATTGCGAGCAAATTGTTATAGTTCCCACGGGATGTATAGCCCTGTTCGTGGGGAGTTTTACGTAATATTAATGAAATTTAAGGAGAATGTCGCATACAATTTATTACTTCGGAGCGCTAAATATCTGTAGGTACGACATTCAGTTTTTTTGAGGAATTAATAGAATGCATGCAGTTAACATTCAGGTAAATTGCGAATGAAGCATTGCTCCTTCTGAGACATAGTTTAATTAAACGGACACCCATTTACCCACAGACTCTCGTCAAGAACTTCCATCACATAAAGAAGTGAAACGACATTCCC